CACGCACACACACACACACACACACACACACACACACTTGCCCAGCTATACATTTGGGGACATTCCATTGATTTCCATTATATTTCTACAGCCTAACCCTGACCACAAACCCTAAGGCTAACTTCACAGGTACCTACCTGACCCTAAGACTAGCTTAACTCAATTCACACCTTGGTCCTAAAACCAAACCTCAACCCACCAATGGCGTTTAAACCAAATGGGGACTCGACTTTTGTCCCTAAACGCACCAGTTATCCCCAAAGGTAGGATTTTTGTCTTAAAATTTCCCCAAATGTCACCAAAGCCAAACACACACACACAGCAATGTATCTGCTGACCTTCAAGACAGCTTTATTTGATAATAACCACCACTGAACATGAACCCTCTGGCTCCTATGAAGAGAAAAACAGTTTGTTGTTTCAGTGTGTGAACACACGGTCCAGTATTACTATCTCTATGGGGACATTGCATTGACGTCCATTAATTTCTACAGCCTAACCCCTTACTTTAAACCTACTACTACTACTACTACTTTACTGCCTAATCCCTTACTTTAAACACAGGTACATACCTGACCCTAAACTCAATAGCCCTGAACCTAACCAACAGCATTTCCCCCCATGGCGACTAGGCTTAGGTCCAGTTGGTCCCCACAAGTAAGGGTGTAAAAATGGGGGTATTTCCACATAGGAAATATCCGCTCGCGAATATGGATTAATAACCTTCCAATAATCTAACACCTCTGTTTACTAAATCCTTGGCAGAATTTAGCCTCTTAGTTGCACATATTTCCTTAGACAACTTTATTTTTTAATCTGTAGATTGGCTTTTTTATTATAAAAAGAGCATTTGGTGGTCAGCTGTTCTGTACTCTTATCATGGGGGGTTTTGTTGTGAGGTTGTTCTCAATCCACACATCATTTTTTTTGAGTAAAAGTCTGATGTTTATACAAAACGCTGGCACAGATTGGAGCTAAATGTGTGATAATGTTATCTCTGTTGATTCCAAACACACGACTGTCTTTAGTTTAATATGAACCGGGCTGTTCTTTCACCAGGAAAACAGAAGATTAAAAGATTAAACAGTAAAATGTTTCCACTCCTTTAGCCTCCTCAGGCATTCGCAGAGCTGATGGGAGAACCTGGTCGACCAGTGTGGCCTCTGTGGGAGCTGCTGAAATGGATGATGGGAAAATCGGACCACACCATGGCTGCCATCTGTGAGAAGAGCAAAGACATTTATTGGTAGAGGTGTTGTTGCAGTTTTTCTGTGTAATCGAGTTGCATGGTTTCTGTTCAGTGTTGGCTATCGTGGAGATGACGCACCCGTCCAAAGCCTCGCCCATCATCATCCAGAAGAAAGAGAAGCTGCAGAAGGATGTGGAGGAGCTGCTGGGAACTGATGGAGTTCTTCTCTACCCGTCGCACACCAGAGTGGCACCCAAACACCACCACCCCCTCTTCAGAGCCTTTGACTTCGCCTACACTGGTTAGTGGTTCTGCTGACGCCTCAGAACGTTTCGATCTGACTCCGTAAGAACAAAGATAAAAGTGTCCTGAAAACAGCTGGAGTTTTAGAAACTACCGTGTCAGGTCTGTCGACACAGAATCCACATATAATCCATCCTCCTCTGGCGACACATCTACCAAAAATATGCAGCTGCAGTTAGAAGTAAAGAATCACTGGCTGGGATATCAATAAATCTGGACTATCATTGATGTGTTTGTATGTGTTTTTCCACCCTGGGAAAAAGAACAATTCAGCTTCAGTTACTTTACAAACAAGAACTGAGTGTCAACGTCTTCAGTTAATAAGAGTTTTCTCAGCTTCTGGCAGAATACTAGTTGGGTTTTTGATCACTCTTCTTGGCAGAATTAATAAATTGAATTTAAATTGCTTGGTTTTCTGGTGCAGACTTGGTTTTGAGACCACAAATATTCTATAATAGTTGAAGCTTTGACTAGCATTGTCCTGTTAGATCACCCAGTTGTGTCTAAGGTTCAACTATCTAGCTGTGTTACTAGAGAATTTGGAGATAGTTCTGAATCTTCATTACTTTATGCACTTACTGCAGTGCACTAAAAACCATAGCTTAGGCTTGGGTGGTATGATGGTACTGTGGTACACCTTGGTATTGAAGTACTGTGACGGTATCTTAAAATTATGATGGAGCCTAGTCACATGACCTGTTTAAATCACTTTTGCCAGAAAGATGCACCTTCTCGGGACTCTGTTTCAATTTGTGTCAAAAGTAGAGATTTCAAACTAAACACCAGTTTTTAAATAGTTTGTAAAATTGTGTTGAAAAAGGCCAAATAAAACTRCAGTTATGATAAACAATATTTTCCACTTTTTTCTTGAACATGACCATTTTATTTCATGCTGCAGCAGCAGGAAACACAGTGTCGGGAAAAAAACAGCTCAGTCTTCTGCATACATAAACTGTCTGACCTCCTTTTTGACCGAGGCACCAAGTTATTTGACAAGTGTCAAAAAATCTACAGGATGAATCAAATTAAAAGACGCCAAAGTAGGCTGTCACGATAGTCAATAAATCAATTAATTGCACAATAAATTATTTTGAGGTCGGTAAAAAAAATGAGGACAGTAAGTTTCATTTTCCTGCTTGTTCGTTTACTTCGTCTCTCTCCCTCTCTGTGCTCCTCTACACAGGAGCTCAGCTGACTCCTCCCCTACTGTTTTCTTAGTGTCGGGAGGAGTCAACTCTCGCGTTAGTGTGAGAGCTCGTAGCTATAACAAACTAAAGAAATGTTTCAAAGCAGAACGTGGCTGCTGCAGTGTTGGAGCACTTGCAGAGCCTGCAATTCGCGGCGGGGAGACACACTGTGTGTGTGTGTGTGTGTGTGTGTGTGTGTGTGTGTGTGTGT